ATGCTTACTGAACATGCGCCGTCAATTTGGTCATTTTGGGCTTATTGTTATTTTTACATACATTAGGCCCATGATTCTGTAGCCTGTATATTATTGGGCCTGAGCCTGACTAACTAACTTGTCCAGTTGGACAGAAAGCCCAGTACGTTATGAAGCAATACACCGCTATGCAGAAGCTCGAACTGACCTCCATCTGCAAAATCACCGGCGGCGGCGGCGGCGTTAAGCTCTAGCTGATCAACCTCGGATCCTGCTAAAGCTTCTAACCGGGAAAATTATCTCTGTTAGTAAGGTACTAAACCGTTCTACCTAGTTTTTTTTCGCTTCTTTCTTCTCATGTTTTGCTGTTTAATCAACAGTGACGGCAAGTTTTGTTGTTTCACCCGTATAACACTCAATCTGAGCTACTTTTCGAGATTTTTTCTTTCATGGGTTTCTTATTTCTTGAATTTATCTTAAAATTCATTGAAAAGCTTTTGCATTAGGAGCATAAAAATGTCGTCTTTAAGGAATGCCATCCCGAGAAGGGCTCACAAGGAGCGTGCCCAGCCGTGAGTTTTTCTTTTCCCCCTTGTGAAAAATATTGAGTTCTAAGCTGTTTAGTGCTTCTTGGTTTCTGATTATATTTTCTTTTTTTGTTGTCTTGTCCTTGTTTTGTCCCTGTATTGACTTGATGTTTTCTTGCTTATGAAGACATTCAAGAAGAAGATTTGGGCTGCTCGAAAAGCATAAGGATTATGTCGAGCGTGCGAGAGCTTACCACCAAAAGGAGCAGGCTATCCAGGTGCTCTTTGTTGCCCTGCATTGTGTTAATTTCATTAGTTATTCCAAAAATGGAGTTTGAACAATCTTTGGAGGTAATAATCATATTGATTGTATGTGCTCGTTTGCAGAAACTTAAAGAAAAAGCCTCCTTTAGGAACCCGGACGAGTTTTACTTCAAGATGGTTAAGACAAGAATGGTTAATGGAGTCCACAGATTGGAGTAAGATAGATAGTTTTCATTTGATTTGAAATTTATTTCTAGTGTAATCTCGAACAAGGTCATTAACACATTTTAGTTTGATTTGTTGACAAATTATGGAGGAGTGAAGCAAACAAGTATACTAAGGAAGAGCTCATGTTGATGAAGACTCAAGACCTTGGATACATTTCTCAGAAACTTCAGACCGAAAAAAAGGTTCGCAATTTTTCACATCCACGAACAGTTGGCAGCTGTAAGAAAGAAATATGTTATTATTTTTTTCATCTTTTGATGCAGAAAATTGAGAAGCTAAGTGGAATGCTGCATTGCCTTGACAACCACTCGTTAAGCAAGCACGTTTATTATGCTGAAGACAGGTCGGTTGTTAGGCCTTTTTATATCTTTTTCTTGTTATTTTTGCGGATAGAAAAAAATTATTTTTGTTTAGATGTAAAAGTGAATCAGATAACTCAAGGTGGAAGTTTATTTTTTGGTATCTTCCACTTTTAGGGATGAAGCTAGAGAAATACAATCTAAGGTACCGGAAAAACAAGAAAATCCTTCTTTGAAGGACTTGCCTAAGGATATCCAAAGGTAATCAAAGTAGTTCTCTGTGATTTTCACCTTTTCTGTGATATCACTAAAGGATTTGAGACAGAAAAAATCTTACAAAAGAAGTTGTTTTTATTTGGTCAATTTAAATAGTAATAAACTAATAATGCTTCAATATCTCTGATTATCTGATTGGAAAGAAATGCTAATTGTCGACGATCTTAGTAAACTTGTGTAAAATTCATCTCCTAAATGTGATCTATTGTGAAGAAAAATGGCTGCATCCTACCGGGAGCTGGAGGTTAGGAAAAACAGAGTAAAAGAGCTAGAGAAAATCCACATGGAGATGTCTATGCAGAAAGAATTGCAGGTACCAATATTTAAAAACCAAAGCTTGTAACTTTAGCAATTGTGGTGATCTCTTAGTGGTAAAACAATTATGTAAAAATAACATGGTTTTTTGCTTTTCCTGTTTGGTACAGAAAAAGGGCCGAAAGCGCAAACTTCGTGAAGATGAAATTGTTTCTCCAGTCTCGGGACCTGTGTACAAGTGGCGGCAGGAAAGAAAACGCTAAGAGAAAAAAGGTCGAGGACAGTTGTAGCTCAAGTTAAAAACTCGGTACTCAGGAATTTTGTGTTGCTGATGGACGTTCGTTTTTTTTTTTTCTTTCAATTGTTTCGGGTGTTTAGTTAATACACAAAATTTAGGAACAAGGGATTGTAACAAGATTTCTTCTGTAAAAGATTATCCAAAGTTTCAGTGCTGTACCAAGGTTGTGAAGAAAATTATGTAAGGCCTGGAATCCCACGAATATTCTCTCCCTTCATATTCAAGCACAAATTTATGGTGTTAAATATTCTGCATGCGTTGAGTTATGATGAATCAATGATATATAGCTGCTGACTGCTGTACTCAGATTTGTTAAAGGTTATTACGAAAACCTCCCCAAAACTTGAAGTTTGCAAGTATAAACAGTATCATTTTCTTTGTTTCTTTTCAAGCTCGATCGTATTCAAAGGTGTTGTGTGGAAGATTCGACTTTACGATGATTGTATTACATTAATTGAATATATTACTATTAGATCAATACACACACATAGTCACACGAGTATATGTTGATCCAATGTTAAAAATCAATCCCGGTGGCGACACTGTATTTTTCAGATTCGACCTTATCTGCAATAACGAATTTTTCAATATTAGATCAACACACACAAATTTACACAGTTATATTTTGATCTAATATTGAAAATCAGTACAAATTCAACCCTACCGGTAACTGTAATGTAGTAATCGGGCCTTACCTGTGACTTCACTGGAGTAACTCAACGTTATCCACACATACAGTAATCGAGTCTTACCTGTGACTTCACTGGAGTAACTCAACGTTATCCACACATACCCACATGGGTATGTGTTGATCCAATGGTGAAAATCAGTGGAAGATTCAACCATGACTGCACTATAGTTTTCATATTTGACCTTACCAATGACCACTGCAGTGCCAGTAAGTGAGTTTTTCACCATTACATCACACACACACACACACACACACACACATACAAATTCACATTGGGATATGTTGATCCAATGATTAAATCAGTAAATATTCAACCCTATCAGTGATTGTAATGTAGTAACCGCACCTTATTGGTAACTTACTGGATATTTCACCGTTAGATTAATACACGCACATACCCGCACGAGTGTGTTGATTCAACGGTAAAAATCAATGAAAGATTCGACCCTACTTGTGACTGCACTGTAGTTTCCAGATTTAACCTTACTGTGACGGCAATAACCGAGCTTTTTTAACCATTAAACTAGTATGCTCTCGCCGTGCACAGCACGGCCGGCCCAATTTAGTTGCTCAAATTTAACCTGTTATTATATGAATATGAGTATAAGACATTTTGGTAAAATAGCCTGTTTATCAAAATACATCATACATTCACAACATCTTGTTTTTTGGGTTCAAACCTAAGTTTGTCAAAACATGCTCAAGCAGACATTACCAATTACAACTACAAAAAGTGCTACAAAAACACTCTATAGATAACACAATTTCCGCAGAATTAGTAATCATCTATGTTATATGAGAATAGATGTTTAAAATTCTGGTCTTACACTAACAAAATATGTAAAAGGCGTAAATGTCAATGTATGGTAGCCTGGGCTATTCAAAAGTTGTAAGTTTAAGATGCACAAAAGCTAATTTGTTTTGGCACGATTTTTCTTCAAAGGGCTTATGTCAGGAGCTTCTTGTGTGTCAAAAGTTCAAAGGTTTTTTGGCTGCAGAGGTTGAAGTGCCCGTGGTTGGATTCCTTTCGTCCTGTTAGATTAGATTAGATAGAAGCAATGTTAAATAGAATAATGTTTGTAAATTTTGTACATATGACTGCAACATGCAACATGTTAAATAGAAGCATTGTTTGTAAATTTGGCATACATGAAATGATTTATTATACATCATTTTTATTGATCAATAGATTACCTTTAGAGACGTTGTGCTGGGTATTTCATTTTTCCTTGACTCTGGTTTAGGTGCCTTTTTTGAGCTGATGATTTCACTGACTATGTAGAGCTTTAGAGCAGTGTGGTAATTTGCTTCATAATGCTTGATAAAACAGGTGACCCGGTGTTATTTCATAGAAGTTGCAATCTGCATAGTTAAGTCTTTTCCCTGTTGTTTGAATTTATAGATAACAGGTGCCGGTAATGGGGATGTTGGGCCAAGTGAACCAAAAATGGCAAATACAATAGGAAAGGGAGCCAAAAGCTGTAATTTTTACAGATTGCTGAAAATGTTAGTACACTGGTAAATACTGTGTAAGAATCTGAATTAGCTCAAATTCGACGTTTAAAGTCGGTAAATTATGTTAAAGCTAGAAATAACCAAAATATGCACAGTGAATGAATGAGTTCACTGTACATGTAACCTACAGAGTTAGATATAGACAACCACAATAGAGAAATTATATGGATTAAAGTATCAATTCATAACTTTATAATCGTTGTTCGTAAAATCCAAAAATTCATTAAAAAATTCTCCAGAGAGATAAAATTTAGCTATTATCACCATTACTGCTTCCACAAATCCTTTAATCTAACCTGCAATCTCAATATTGGTCACCAAGTCTAACCAGGTTTGAGCCTCTAAACAGATTAAATAATTTGCAAGCATTTCAGTTACTCATTAAGGCTGGCAAAAGTGATGATTTTGGAAATAGAATAAATTGAAGAATATTGAAATTGCGATTTCAGTCAAAATGAAAACTTCTGATAATTTATAAGAACTATGAGGTTTACCATGGACCCTGGCAAGAAGCCATTTATTCTAATTTGAAACAATCTTAAAATGCTTCTCTTTTCGAGAGTAACAATTCTCATTCGACAAAAAAAAAACTTTCAAGGAAAACAAATTCCTGATCCAGATCGGGATCGGGATATTGATATTGAAAGCAACAAAATACACAGACAGCTACGCATGCATAATCAACACTCAAGTTATTAGTTATAACCAAACTATGAACTTGACCCATAATCTTAGACCATATGATGATTAATCTCATGTAGATAATCAAAGAGTTTCTAACTGAACCTGACAAATACTAAATGATTTTTTTTTTTTTTGTGTAATAGGTTTATGCATAAATTACTTTAAAATGAAAAATTGTTAAAAACAAGATAGTCAATTTTGCCAAGTCAGGATTCATGTACAACTAATCCCAACCACCGCTATGAAATAATTTGAGAAGGAAAAACTCTTTTTTTTTTTGCATGACAGTCAATCCAATTTAAAGTATAATGTATATCTTACACAAAGCATAACTTTGGCATGCACCATCAAAATTCTACCTAAATCACTAAAAGTAAACGATTTACTAATCGAACAATGCTAATTTTTTGCAACAGAAGAAAAAAATTAAAACCTCAGTCAAAACATACAACAAAGATGGTTGAAATTGGCTTTAAAAAGATTCAAGAAAACTCAACAACAAATATGATCGCAGTCACCTCAGCCTCTATCTTCTGCTGGATGAGCAGGCCCTTGGTCACACCTCTTTTGTACACCAAGTTCTTGTCATCTTCATCTTTCTTCGTGTGCGGCCTGTAGTAATGAGCGAGCCCAGCAACACGCAAAAATTCGAGCAACGCCATTAGCCGCAGGAACCCTAAAAATTTAACTAAAATTGTAAAAGTATTAAAATTAAAAAGAGAAAGCCTAAGAAATAATATCAAGATCGCAATCTGCTCCCTTTGAGTCCATAGACTCCATTACGTCTACCTTTGATCCATCGGTCCATAGGTGAGGAAAATCGCACCGCCGGATCGCGAGTGAGATCCGGAACCAATAAAAAAAAAATCGAAGAGATTTGCATAGGAAATAAGGAAGGGAGATTGAGATTTGGAGGATTAAAAAATCGGCGGAACCAAAAACTAAAACGAAAAAATTGAAGAGATTTGCATAAAAAGAAACAATCGCAGATTCAGATTCGAAGGCTAAAAAAATTGGGATGAAAAATTTGTCACTGTAAAGGAATTGGACGCGCATAGAGAAAACGAAAAAATTGAAGAGATTTGCATAAAAAGAAAGAATTGCAGATTCAGATTCGAAGGCTAAAAAAATTGGGATGAAAATTTTGTCACTGTAAAGGAATTGGACGCACATAGAGAAATAGCAGGGCACAATTAAACACAAAACGACGTCGTTTAGAAGAAGGCGACGTGGCTTCACAAGGAAAGGAGGGACACACGTCAGAAATTGAAAGTAGGGACTCTTTTTTATAGATAAGAGAAACTAGTACAACACGCATGTATTACATGGGTGGCGACAGTGTCTCGTTCATGGACGGATTCATAAAAGTGGAATGGGTATCCGGACAAGTCAAATCCAAGACCGTCCCGGCCTGTGCCTACCCTTACTATAAATAATCAACATATTATAGATAATCCGAACCTAAATATATTTGGATTAGAAGTAAACTAAATCTACCCAAACCTAATAACGAAGCATGTATTTTTTCCACATAGGATCCCGAAGCATGCGAGCCTGCCACATATGCTCAGCACGTTCTCAATTAATATATAGGGAAGGATAGATAGATAAGCACACACATAGACATGGCCGCGGGCCGAACTTGCCCGCGACTCGGACCGGGAACCGGTCCCGGACTGGCCAGAACTGGCCCTTAACCGGCCACGTAAGGGCCGGTTCGTTGGACCGAACCGCAAGGGCCGCGGTTCGGTCTTGCGGTTCGGTCCCGGTTGGCTCAATTTCTTTTTTTGTCTCGGCGGTCCGGGCCGGGTCGCAGGCTGAAATCGGGCGATGTGTGTTTTTTTTATTTTTTCTTTATTTTATTTTAATTTTCCGGGCCAGTCCGGGGCACTTTCCTGTTCGGTTACGGGCCAAGGCGTTGAGGACCGTTGGCCCAGCGTGCCGGGCCGGGCCGGGCCGGCCCGTTGACTGGCCATGTCTACACACACAAACTCTAGGGTATATGTTCATTCAATGGTGAAAATCAGTGAAAATTCAACTCTGTTGGTGACTGTAACCGAAGTAACATATATACATTAACCATAATTCAATCGACTAATGTAAAATCTACCATGATGTAATACTACGAAAGAAGGAAAGCAGGCAAGCGAGATTGAAATAATCTCATTTAGAAACCCTTTCTTTTTTGTTCTTTTTTTCATCAAATTACAAACATTCCTTCACGTCGTTTCAATGGCTGGTCGTCGATTTACGCTTTTGCATCTGCCCATAATCCATGCTTTCGATTTCTCAATCCCCATCACTTGAAATCTCGTAGATACCATGATTCATCAGCATACCCCTTTTCTTCTTCTGTCATGTCAGTACTAAACACTTGTCGGAGCTTTGAAATGCTGAAGCAAACACATGCTTTGATCCTAACTTCAAACGTGCAAGAAGGGGTTTTTGGAGTTGCTTCAAAGTTGGCATCATTATACATTCTGTTTAACGACTTTCGCAGTTCTGTATCAGTACTCAAAGCTATGAAAGAGACTAACAGCTTTGCTTGGAACTCAGTGATTAAGGCCCATGTGCATTCAGGGCTCAGTGAGTCGGCTGTTTTTGTGTTTAAGCTCATGAGGGAAATGGGTGTTTCATGTGATGGCTATACATTTCCTATATTGAGTAAACTGGTGGTGTTGCTCGAAGGTGGGTGTGCCGGTTTTGCAGAAATGATTCATTGTGTGGCGGTGAAAACTGGTTTTCAATATGATATATACTTCTGTAACACGATGATCGAAGCTTACCTGAAAGTAGGGTGTTTTCGAAATGCTTTGAACCTGTTCGATGAAATGCCTAGCAGAGATTTGGTTTCTTGGACATCGATGATTTCGGGGTACGTTTTTGAAGGGAACGAAAATGGGGCCTTCGAACTATTCAGCAAAATGCGAAAGGAGGTCGAGCCCAATGAGGTGACATTGATTGTGATGGTGCAAATGTGTTGTTCTGTGTTTGAAGTGAGGCAGATTCATGGGTATGTGATCAAATCCGGATCCTTGGTTGATATTTCTTTGAAAAATTCAATCTTGAAAATGTTTGCTGATTTTGGTAGTGTGGGTGATTTCGAAACTCTATTCGAAGAAACTGCTACACGGGACGTCGTTACTTGGAATACAATGATTCACTTGTATTTTTCTAAAAGAAGTCCCAAGAAAATAATTGATTGTTTGAATAAAATGAGATGTGAAGTAAACCCAAGTATAGAAACATTTACACTGATTACTTCAGGGCTTGTTTGGTGTGAAAATCATCACAGCCTAGGCACACAGATACATTCCCTTTCTCTTAAAAGTGGGGTTTTTGATGATGTTCTATTGAGTTGTTTGTTGGACTTGTATGCAAATTCTGGGTATTTTAAAGAAGCTATTCTTTTGTTCAAGCAAATGTTAGCAGCAAATGTTAAGCCCGAGGTCAATAATATGAGAAGCTTTATTGTCGCGTGTACACACTTATGTGCTCTACGGTTAGGCAAAGCTGTTCACGGGTACTTCATTAGAAATTACGCATTTGCCCCCGACGAGAATAATGTCCAATCGTTAGAGACATCGCTTCTCAACATGTATGTCAAGTGTGGAGATATTCCTTCTGCAAGGATATGTTTCGATAAAATGCTCGTAAAAGATCTCGTGGCATGGTCATCGATGATTGAAGGCTACGGCACACACGGATTAGGCTCGGAAGCTCTCAAGATTTTCAGTCGAATGATTAGCGAAAAAATAAAACCAAACAGTATCACCTTCTTGAGTTTATTATCCGCTTGCAGCCACTCGGGCCTTGTACACGAAGGCTGCAGAGCCTTAAACAACATGAAATCCGAATTCAATATCGAGCCCGATTTAGATCATTACACTTGCATCGTGGATTTGTTAGGCCGTTCGGGAAACATCAAAGAGGGTTTGTCGGTTATTCTGAGGAGAGTGGTTTTGCCGGACAGTAAAATATGGTCGGCACTTTTGTCGGCCGCTAGGGTTCATAATGACTGGAAAATCGGAGGTTATGCAGCACGGAAGGTTCTAGAGCTGGAAAGGGATAATCCCGGTTATTACACTTTGTTTAGCAATGTACAAGCAGGTTCGGAAAAATGGGATGAGGTACAACAAGTTAGGAGTGTTATGAAAGAGATGAATATGAACAAGAGTCCTGGTTGGAGCTGTTTGGAAGTTAAAGGAGTTTTTCATGGCTTTGTGAGTGGAGATAGGTCACATGAACAAGTGGAAGAGATATGGGCAATGGTTGAGTTTTTCAGTAGAAATGGGTTAGAAGAAGTAGGCAATGGTTTGTGTAACTGAATTTCTAGTTGGTTTCAAATTTTTGATGTATTTTATAGGAAAAGGGGTTATTATTGCTTCATTGTTGCTCACCCCTTCATTACTCTCCGTACTACCCTCACTGCAGGGGGTACAACATTGCCAACCCCTAATTGCCAATGTTTCACAAGCAGCTCCTGGTAAGTGTGATGCATCCATATTTCTGATTTTGACCCAATTTTTTTTATAAATTTGATGGTTCCATTGTTTTCCCCTTTCATGTCATGGGGTGTTAGTTTCACTCCCAAAGATGGACATGAGAATGAAATCCAATTCGCTTTAGAACGAGGAATTGGTGCTATGATTTCTCTTCTTTATATGAGTAGTTGTTAAAATGTGTTAAAGCTTTTCGGAAAGTAGCAGCATTATGCTAATTTGGTATAATTAGGAAAACTACCATTCATTTATTTGACAAAATTACCCCAAATCCCATTATTTTCTAACATCTGCAATGTGGTGGGGCATATTATTATTAGAGGTGAAGAAGAAAGTTTGATTACAAAGATCACAGATATTGCCCCGATGTTTCTTTGGGAGACTAAGGTGCATCTTCTGGAAGACGATAATAAGCAAATCTAGCAAGTCCTTGAAGTTCTGGGCTATTCTTTGAAATGAGGAGAAACAAAGAAGACAATATTGAATATTTTTGTTTTTCCATCTAACTACTTGCTGAGGAGAATAGATTAATTCAAAATGAGAAGAAAAAAATAAGAGAAAAGAAAGAAAAGCAACAGTGACCGGTGTAATTTCACTTGAGTGTGTGTGACCATTTAGATATTCAAGAAGCTGAAAGCACGGCTTGGTTTTCAACTAGCAGGTGTATAATTTTTCTGTGTAATCAACTAATCAAGTTAGTATGGTTTTGAATGCCCTTCAAAGTTTAGATTAATACATGAAATATCCTTATACTTCAGTCTAATTATAGGAAATCCCCATCTGTCCAAACTATAACCACATATTTGTTATGAAATTGCAAATCTAAAGGGGTACTCACAGTACGTCTCTATTATTATTAGCAAAGCTAATAAGAGATTTTACAACTGGACCAAGCAGTTTTCTGTTCAGAAATTCAATTGGACTATAAATTTCTTTTCGGGTCTAGTAAAAAGGCCCATCTGGCTCACTCAGCTAAATCTTGAAGTATTGGGCAGTCTCGTTATTCCCTGTGAAGTATATTTTCTTTTGAAACATGTATGCAAGTCTATATTGCAAGCTGATCACATCAAACATAAATATTCTTCAATACATGTTTTACATTACATAATCAATAAATATACAATAGAATTAGTAGCTTATGAAAACTACAATATGTATATTATAAACATATATTTATTATAGAAATATATTCACAATGACAAAATATATATCAAATTCCAACATAAATCTCGACGAATATTCCAATAATATAACGTTCCAAAAGAGGTCAACATGACAATTTTCTTTTACAATTACATTTGGCCGTGGAATTCTATTTGGATTGATTATTCCAACACCATATTTTACAACGGTAGAAATTTTCTTTAAAACATGCAATTTTGGTTGATTTTTTTTTCCACCAACAATTTCAATCATTGAATGAATTGTCTTAGAATCGTCAAAATCTGATACTAATTCCAACAAAACAATAGAATTATTGTTTAAATTTTTTCATTGAATTATAACATTAAAATATCCATTTGAAGTTAGCATTGAAACTCGGTTGAAATTTTACATTTTTTTTAGTATATCGAAATAATTAATTAAGAAAACAAAATAAGTTAAATATCACATAAACATCACTCTACAGTTATTCACATCATTTCTTACAAACATTATAGGTGTGGTTGGATATAGATTTGATTTCATTTTAATTAGTTTTTTTTTGTTAATCATAGTTAATTTTAAAATATATGGTAGGATTATTTGTTGGTAGAATTTTATTTTCTATTAAACTAATATTTAAATAAAATGATTAAAATATATTTGATGTAAAAGTGAGAGGGAGATGATGTAAAGTGATAGTTACTTAAATTTATTTTGAGTGGATGAATAGTGAAATAAAGTTAATGTGATGTGTAAGAATAATTATTGATATTATTTAATTATATGGATAATAATACGGATAGTGGTGTTGAGTTATAATTATGTTAAATTTGAGTTTTGATTTTTTTTTTTTAATGAGTGGATATTCAGTCACACACCCTGTACATTTATTTCAACATATATTCAATTCATACTCAAAATCTAACTCAATTTTAACTTAACCATATTATCTTCAATATTATAAATATAATTAAATAATATCAATCAAACATTACATATCACATAAATTTTAATTCACTATTCAATGTATTCATCCACTCACATAATTTTAACTAATCATAACTTCATATCATCTCTCTCATACTTTTATATAAAAATAACTTTAATTATTTTATAGTAAATATTATTTTAATATAAACTCAAAATTTCACTAACAATTAACTATACCAACTTTTTAAAATTAACCATAATTAACAAAAAAAAAAAAAAAACTCGTTTTGAGCAGATATATTTATACACAAGCACACCCTAAATCACCCTATATTTTGAATCTAGAGTTCAAATAGAGGGACATATCCAAGTCTAGGTTAAAACTTACACGCACACACAAGTAATTCACACACTCCTCAATTCATGAAGCAATTCAGGTGGATATGGTAAAAAGTAATTTCTGCATAAAAGGGTAAGTCGTGTTGTTAATACGTCAAAAAAGGGAGAAGAACAAAGAATTGAAGATGACAAGACTAGACAGCGCCATGCTTGTCGGGTACTCGGGGCCCCTGTCCCATCCCTCCTTATTCTACGAGGTTACAATTTCTTAGTTCTTACCGTACCATTATTTTTACCACACTTAAAATCTAATTCAGTTTACATTTAATTCGATCCATTGTGTGTTTTTTATTTTGACACTTTTATTTATTGTATTTTACTTCGAATTCAAATTAAGGTGTATTTGTACTTTAAATTATATTTATGTTAATGATGTAGTTAGAGCCCTAAACGAGTCGAGTTGTTAGTTGATCGAATCGACAAGGGGGCAATTGGATATGAATCCAGCCGATTTTGGTTGCTTAAAGTGAGTTATTTTAATTAAAGTTGATTGAAAGGATTTGTACCTAAAAAAAAAAAAAGTTGATTGAAAGGATAATAGAGTATAATTTTGAGTTTGTAATTAAATAATATTTAAAATGTGATGATTAATATTGATGTGATGTAAAAGTAAGAGAAAAGTTATTGGAAGTGATAGATAATTTAAATTATGTGAGTGCATAAATAATGAATTAAAGTTGATGTGATGCATAAGGATGATTAATTTATTATTTAGTTATGTTGATAATAAAGTGATTGAAGTTGATTTGATGTAAAAGTATGAAAATTTTGATAAGAAATGATGCATAGTTAAAATTATGTGAGTTAATGAATAGTGAATTAAAGTTGAAGTGCGAGGATAATTAATCAATATGATTTAATTATATTGATAATATTGATGAGAGTTTGGTTGTGTTGGATTTCAAGTTAAAAGATACTACCTTCTTTTTTTTTATAAATGCCATTTTGGTTTTATCAACAATTGTCTAAGTAAATGACGTTTTGGATCTTTTGTACATATTTTTTCATTATTACCCTTATCTAGCTAATAAATACACTACGTCTTTTCATATTCACTCTTTATATTTTCTCAAAACATCCATCTCTATCCTCATTAATGAGGGTTATTATTGGCAAAAAAAATATTCTTAATTAGTGTGCAACTTCTCAAAACGACATCTATTAAAAAAAAGAGGGAGTATAAAACACAATAACTCAATCGCTCAAAACCGATTAAAATCAATTTTGTATCATATCAAAATGTGCCCTAAGCAGTTCGAGGTCGACTACTTTAACGTGCCGAACTAAGACAGTAGATTGGAAAGTTATGTAATGATCCAAGCCGAACTTCGCTCATCAACTAAATGAGCTGTTAAACAAGTTCGGACATGAACTTTTATCAACTTGAGGCAAGCTTACTAGTTTATCAAAATTAAGGAGCTGAATTTGAGCTTAAATGAATCGAGTCGAGCCAAAACTCCATTAGTTAACAAAACGGACTCGAACTAAACTAGTTGAACAAACTAGTGTCTTAACAAGTAGAGCCGAGCTCATGAGCAACTCTATACGTGTAACAATTTTAACTGTCATTATGGTGCTTTATCTTTATAGTTAGAAACTTGAATTATGGTGCATTAATCCTAATCCTTTTACGCACATGAGTGACCCAAATTTTTGGGCCTTTTTCTTTGACTCGTTCAAAGGCTGCACAAAATCTACTTTTTCACGAAATTGATATGGCTACCACATTAAATGATCCATAGATAAAGAAATTGCTTTCCTACCCAAAACAGACAGACAAATACATAAATAAATAAATAAACAAATAAAATGAAATATGGTTTAAATTAAAAGAAAAAAATGTTAATTAAAAGAAAAAAGGGAAAGAAAAAATAATAGAGGCCCAAATTAATATAGAAGTCATATGCAAAAAATGTAGAGGGTCCATGAGACCATGCAATGCAGACAATCTTTTTAACTGTACTTGCAGAGCAGTAACTTGAGTCAGTCTTTTTATGCAGAAAATCAGAAAAGAAAGATTGATTGATGAGAATGAATTAAATAAAAAAATAAATAAATAGGGGCAAAAAGAATGAACCCAAAACCTGATCGATACAGGATAAAAAGAACTAGCTCATGACATCACCACAATTTATTTTTTTTGTTTTTCAATTTCGTACGTAAAATAAGAGGAATAATAAAAGTGGGTGCATTCAATCCATCTTCAATTTAGTAACTAAAATTTTCACAATTAAATCATTATACATACATTCACATAATAAAATGTATTGAATCAATACAAACATACTCGTTGGACCATGTCATTAGATCCACACACGAGTATGTATTGATATAACGTTGAAAAACGCGTT